GACGCACCCACACACTGCCCGCCTCGGGACAGAGCGGCGACGTTTATTCCTCCGATATTTGCTGTAAAGGAACCAGGTGATTCAGAGACTACGGTCAATCATACGAATATCATCATTTATAAAAATCCAATGCTATGCTACGCTTTTTACACGCTACTTTTACCAACATGAGTGAAAAAGCTATTGATGGATTGTGATAATAGTGTATGTTATCATGTAATGTCTACTATCACTACCTTCATCGGAGACAGGGTAAACCTCGAGTTCGCTGAACTGCAGAAGTCGCGCCTCTCCCAGACGGATCCCCACATACCGACCCCGCAGGCCTCCACACGAGACGGTTAGTTCTGACTGGTTGACGGCGATGCTGTGGTTCTGCCCGCATTGAGGGTTTGCCGACACGTTCCGATGGTCGCCGATGTGGATGAAGAAGGGGTTGAGGTCGACAGGGCCGGGTTTGACCACAGTCACCCTGTCGATGGACCACTGTCGGTCTAAGTCCACATACCACCAGGGATGCAATTCTGGAGAATCAAATGTGGGACATTGACTTCTTTGTTAACGTTATTTAGGTGGTCTAACTTCTTTGTATCTAGTATTGCCGCACATTAAGCTGGTGTGTTACGCCGAAGGACGCTCATACCGGCTATACCGATACAGATACGTTCCAATGGTCTGGGATTTTGAAAATATAACCAAGACGTCAAATACAACGATTGTGCCCAGATGGACGGAAATACGACAACAAAACGTACGTAATTTTACACGGAAATGATGCCATAGCATGTCCGGGGCGAAAGATACAAAAACCTGAAGAACAAAGGACAGCCGCTAGGAGGACAAAAGCGACTTTGACCTTCGTCATCCCAAGACCTCCTTAAGCTATGCTGACCACAAATATGTGGAAACTAAAACAGACTAGACAAAAATGCACATCAATGTACGCAACAGCTCTCAAAATGGAAAACGAAAATGTCGATATTGTTAACTAACCAGATGGAGAGACTTGACAAATAAACTTTCTGTCGGCTCTGGTACACGATCCATGGTTCCATGTGTTCTTTTTGGGCCGGCCGTCGGGATAGTACTCAGCACAGTCCTCGTCATCATTATGGTCGTTGGGTTCTCCTGGTTGCCAAGCTCTGAAGTCGCCCAGAGGAACGTTATCGTCCCACATCCAAACTCCCTCCTGGTGGCCATCAGTCAGTCCAAAACGGAACCAAGCGTTGTTGTCGGCCGCATTTTTCAGATCGATGAGGAAGTTGTTGGTTGCGTTGTCTCGGGGCATGGCAAGAGTTCCCCCGTCTAAAGAACACCTACTGACTGCACCGTTGTAGGTTTTACTGTTGTTGAAGGCCTTGTAGCACAGGCGACTAGGATGATGGTAAACGTACCCGTCTGGGCACTGCCAACCTATTTCATAACGAATAAGGTTATTTTTTTCAACTACAACTGCATCACAATCGCTCGGCCATGCGTCACCTCTGATAAGAGGTACGTTTTATACATTCGTCACGTGCAGAGGCACGTGCAGAACACAGTATTAATGCGCGACCCCTGGGGGTACAAAGTAGTGCGGAAAAAATCTTCAAGCCTGGCTAGAAAGTCGTATATGAAAGGTAGTCGGGTGTAAACTAAAATGCGTGGTTTTGAAATATAACAGTTTGATGACTCTCTGAATTGGGTTGTCATTTTTTTCCAGTTCGTGTATATATGCGCCGCATTACGCAACTGCGTTCCAGTGTGAGCAGGCTAGGAGCGAAATTTTGACATGGAAATGTGCCGTACAGACCCCTGCATGAAAACCCTGTCGTGTATATAAACGACGTTTTTTTTTTATGCCACTGCAGCGCCGTAGACGTATTTACGTTTATTCAATTAGGTAGCTTCACTAACCAAAAATGTGGACACAAAAATGCTGCCATAGACTGTCATTAAATCTGTTCAAACCTGTTAAGATGATCTTCGCCCGCATAGAGATGTGATTATACCATGTTTGTGGGCGGATTTTGATGAAGCGCGCAGTAATGGGGCCACTGTAGTCGCTGAAATCGTTGATGACCGGCGTGTCCCTGTCGACGCTCCCAGGAAAAACCTGCAGCATTTTTTTTATTTACTTCAAGTTTTTTTTCGAAAATTAAGCTTTAATATGCATGACGTCATTTTGTGAACGTTAATATTACATCATTGACACTTTTTTAGCATTCGTTTTATGATAAAACAATTTTTGACGGTTTGGGCCCCAAATTTACATACATTACGTCACATTTCGTCATAAGGACACCAAAGTTGTTGTTATGATTTAATTTTACTACTACACCATTCTGAACAGTTGGTGGCCCTACGATAAGTCCTTGTAAAGGTACAGGGACCCCGACCCACCACCCCCACCCAGAAAAAGAGGAATGATTCTTACGGTAACTTGTCCCTCAGCATTGGTGTAGAACTGCTCATCGCCATTTTCAACGCCGTATGAAATAACGTAGGATGTGACGTATTGATTAAATGGGCCATTTGGGAATTCAGGGACGGAGTTCCTGCCTTTGGTGATGATGCCGCCGATGATGCTTACGTCGACAAGATCCCTCATCAGCCATTGGTCCCGGTTTTTGACTGCTGCTGCCCATGCGCCGGCTAAAGTGGCATTCTCGAGCGTGTTGATATCCGCGCGATCAGCTGTGTGTTTAGAACTACGCTCCGAGGATGCTGACCAGGATGGAGGTTCTAAAACAAAGAAACACGTGACAAAGAAATATGAACGCCAAGGATAGAGCCAACTAGTTGTTTCATCATACATGCCATTAGCATTATAGTTTATGCATAGTCTACGCATAATTGCATGTTATGGAATTAGAGAAGGGAACCTACGGCGGCCCGTAGGTACGCTTCGAGTTTCTGGACCACATGTCACAGTTGGCACCTGTCTACTTCTCACATAAGACTTTCTACCCAGCAACAATTCGGATGGCACCCGGGCTACAAAAAAATCTCTACAAATGGAAGAAAAGACACCGACCTAGACTAGAAGCTCTTCCTGTTTTGACGCATGCACCGCCGTTCTCGTCGCAGCTGCTCGTGGTTCTGACGCCGTCATTGCCGTGCCAAGAGAGGCCGGTCTCGCCAGGTGTTGTCGACTGATAGGTCCTCTTCTCCAGTGCGATGTTTGTTCCAGCTGAGTTGTAACAACAAATAAGATAAACTCAAGGGAGACGGCGGGCGGTATAAACTTCGATGGGCTATTCTTCAAGTCCAGAATCTGTGCTATGTTTACCACATAGATAAACCTTCATGCTAACATCCCATTTCCACTTGAGGCTGCAATGAATTTCTTACGTTCTTTTTTTTTTCGTTGTTTTGTAAATAACACTTTTACATTTTGTATCAGATTCCAATTATATAATCAATAGTCGCACAAATCCAATTTTGGTCTCTGTCTCTGCGGTGTACTGGCAAGGGGACCTATAACAAATAAGTGTGTTGCCCGGTGTGATGGTAAATGCACTGGACGTCAAACCGAAGATACAGAACCTCCTGACCTGTTTTGTGGAAACAGCTCGGGTACCCCGGGTACGGATCCCAGCAGCACCCGTGGAGCTCGCACTCGCGAGGTGTGGCGTCATCCCAGGCACATGGCTGCCTAGCAACGAGGGGCGTGGCACATCCCAATTCTTAAAAAAAAACACAAGAAATGTCAGAATCTATTGGAACAAACGATTGTATGGCGTGTTCTGATCGGTACAAGGACAGAGTCTGTGCAGGGTTGTTGGCTCCATGCAAAACTTGGTCAACTTCAAGTTACTTCATTACCTCAGTTGATTGACTTTCGACATCGGAGATTTCAGACGTCCAGGAAGTATTGTGGATTTGCGTGACCCTCAAGTTCACATAAATTTCTGTGTCTGACTTTGTGATCTGTCATTCTGCCACCACATGCCGTCAACCTACTCTGTCTGCACAAACAGACAAACGAACCCACAACTCAGCCGCCCAAAACATGTCGAGTCTTGACATACCACCGATCTTGTGCCCTTGGGAAAGGCACTTATAACGACTTTCCCCATGTGTGAAAATGAGTATTACTTGTCCTGTATTTATGTGGGACACAACACCAACAACAGCTGCCTGTGTCCCACGTGTATTGCACTGTTGCAATTTCTATAAATCAAATCAATCAAATCAAAACAATACTTCAGTTACACACACAGACATGTTTCCGTCGAGAAAGTTTTGAGACTGTCACTGAAAAATCACTTACTTTCTGACATTGGCTGCATACAATACACGCCACGTCGCGACGAAGTAGGCTGAACACGATAACTGATTATTCCACTGTTTATATAAGCCGAGCGACGACTGACGCGTTCGAGGAGGTATCTGAGGGTCTGGTCGGTCAGCCATGAAGGCGTCGTGTCGCCAATGCCGGCTTGAAACGCGGCGAGAAGCTCGCTGTATGACGCCATCCTGCTGTGGTACTTTGAACAGTGATGATGAGCGGCGGGGAAATCCAACCGGACGCCCTCAAACCAAACTCCCATTACGGTACCCGGGTCTGGGATTGGAAGCAAAGAACATGAATATGAAATCTATGCAGCGTTCGGGAAAAATATTACACAGTCCAGCTTTACATGCGTTTTCAAAAACACTTACATGTATGTTCAAAAACACGTCACGAAACGCTTTTCCACAAACGTCTCGCATTGTAAAACGCTCGTGTAAAGAGAAAAAGGCCGTTCCACAACACCTTTTAACGGCTCTGTAACGCACTTCAGAGGGTGTGACCATGGATCATATATAGTAACTACCTTTATACGAAAGTCAGTACTCACGCCTCGCAGCGATCAGCGCACTTTCACACCCGAGGACGCCCAGGGTCAGTGTCGGGCGGCCAAACCAGGCAACCGGAATGACTCGCAGGTACCTCGTGGAAATGCGGGGTTGTATAAAGGTGCGGACAGTTGTTCTTGGTTCGGTATTGGCTTGATACACCTGTAAAAACAGCAACGGCGATTTCAGATCTCTTAGAAGTATTTTGAGTTGTTGTTGGTTTCTCGTTTTATTCCTTATTCTGAATGAATTTCCCCCAGATTCTGTGCACATTCCGTTGTCAACGCCGGGCGTTGTCACTTCCTTGCAGCCTGCGGGGAGACAATCCAGTTCGGTGCAGTTCAACCATTGTCAGTCATATGTGCGGTTGCACCATTGCTCTAACACTTTCTGCACCTCTATTGTACTTTTAAAAGTAACTACCGACACACAGGGAAACAAACAAAGAAACAAACATACATAAACATTTAAAAAGTCGTTCCCAAAGTTACCTTAACACGTGTACACGGCTCAGAGCTGGCTCCATGGTTGTTGTACACCGCCCCGTCGGCACTTGTCTGAAGACTGTACGCTTTAGTGTAGGAGTTGGTGCTCACGTCGCCCGATGTCTCTATCGCGGCCACGTACATCTCCCGACCGAAATCCAGGTCCATCCAGGGGCGGGCGTCGGCGTAAAACGCGCGGCTGATCAAGGAAATCGTCCCGCAGGCCAACCCTGTTGTGAACGGAGAAAAAAATAACAAGCTGTAATAACTCACCCTTTTTCAGAATAAGGCCCCGAGACATGACGAAAACGTCCAAGGTGCATCAACTTCCTAACATTGTTAACAAGAATCCGAGATCTCATACCTCCATGAAATATGGGCTTAATATGTAAATGTAAATTTCTTCTTTAATTATGCAAATTACCTCTGCATTAACATGATATATGCATCATGATGTATGTTAACTTTTGATTAAGTTACAGATGTCCCAAGTATGACATTCCCATCATTCACCATTAAGAAATCATAGAATTTTTGCATAAATTATGCAAATTAGGTCATCATCTGCATAATTAGTATCTGTTGATGTTCTGCCTGCCATAGGTTACATTCATTACATGTATGAAAGTAGTATAATGTAAAACACTGTAATTATAGAATTTCCTCATTAATTATGCAAATAAAGTCCTCATTTGCATAATTTGCAGTTAATCATGTACATCTCTCTCTCAGCTACCTACACACCAAAAATTATGAAAATATGTTGTTTCTATCTGGACTTATTGGCTTTTAAACATTTCGCCAGAAAGTGCCCTGCAGTTCCAGAACAAGCTGCTAGGGGGACCAAACTCACACCACTTATTCCTGACAGGAAAAGCAATCTGTCACCAAAACATCAAGACCATAGCATGTTCAGGACAAAAGATACAAAAACCGGAAGTTCTGCTGCAGTACCAAGGTCATCCACCAGGAGGCCCATATTTGACCTTGACGTTTGTCTTCCTAAGACGTACCAACATACCAAATATCATCATAATCCATAAAGGCGTTCTGAAGTTATGCTGACCACAAAACACACACAGACAGACAGACACACACACACACACAGAGACATACATACATACATACAGACAGACACGCCAAAAACAATACCTCCATTTTTCATGGAGGTAACAATTCAACAACACACCGTCCATTTCACAAATGACGCGGGAGTTCAGGCCACAGTGCTGAGTTGTCCAATTGAACCCTGCAGTTCGGCCCATGATGACACAGGTGTCGCTGCCGAACGCCGCCGTTTTGTCGGTGCCAGGAGACCACCAGGACGACTGCGCAGCCAGAGGAACTTGGTGCCACCAGTTGTACCAGGATTTGGACTGTACGTAGAATGTGAAAGGAGGAATGTTCATCAGAGAAAGTAAGATTAGTTAGCAATCAAGGTGTCAAATAAAAAATCGTTTTTTTTGCATTGATTGTGATTGCCGAAGGGCGATGAACACTGGCAATCCGATGGAAGCTAAGATGCCGCGGATTGAGAGGAGGATGTAATTTTAAGGAACTGCAAGCTGAAAGAATCTGAAAAATCTGTTCATATCCCGGTGTAAGACTTTTTTTAAAAAGTAAAAAAAAACCAGAAGGGGGAGGCGAGAGTGGTGGGTGGGAGCGAGGTCAAGCCGATCCGTGGTCAACAGTTTGATCTGTTAATGTTAAGGTTGATGTGTTAGTGGATAGTAAGCATTCATGGCTAATGAACTGAATAAGAACATAGTATATACTCTTTTTTTAAAGTTGACTTCTATTAAAGAAGCACCTGACAGAACCGCAGTCCGACCCAGTATTTGTCTCCATCTCTAAATGACGCGATGACGCCGAGAATCTCCTGCTCAGCTTCGCTGTTGATCTCAACCACGTGAGCTGGTAAACCAGAAAAAGGGAATGAAAAGTTAACATGTCAACTTTATTCGAATGAAAGCTCATCTGTGTTGGTAGAATCCATAGTTATAGAGTTTGACTTGTTCCAACACAAGGAAGAAACTCACCATCCCATCAAAAGTGGCGGGAAGACGGAAT